ACTCTCTGGGGGTCCAAGTCATGGCAGAGCGGCTGGCCTCCAAGTGCAGTCCGTGCAGGAGGCAGGAAATCAGCTTGGCGAGGAGGATCCACCTCTGAGCTCCAGGGTGCTCACCCAGGACACAAACGCACCAGTTCTGGAAGCTGTTGACGCGGCCATCTCTCAGGGCATCGCCCTACCTTCCTTGGAGTCTTCTCAGCCTCTTATTGTACACACTGGCAAAGGAAAGCTCCAGGCCCCTGGCTCAAGGAGAGGGAAGAAGATTGCACTCAGGCCTGGGCCAGTTCCCCACGAAGATAGAGGAGATCATCCTGTTACAAAGGAGCCTTTTTCAGGAGAGCCTAGTGAAGAAGTCAAGGAAGAAGGAGGTAAGATATGAAACGTCTTAAGCCACGTTTCCTCGGTCGGTGCTAGGTGGCATTCCTGTACAAAGCAGTGTTTCTGAAAGGGGAAACTGACCCAGTGTGGGATTGGGACTGTGGAGCTCGTGGGGGTCGGTAGTGAACTTTATGAGTGGGTGGAGACCTTCTCCCTCCCTTTCCCTAGATCCTCTTCTGTATCCTTTTCTTTCCTTTCTAGGGGTGAATTATGTGGCCTTTTGTGATTCGGTTGTGTCTGTGCAGCAGGGCTTTTGGAGGAGAGGCAGCCGCTTGAAGGAGACACTATTGCCTGGGACTTTGGGCGGGGCTCTGAAGAGATGATGTAACCCTTGAGGGAGGAGTTGTAGTTTGACAGATGGTGGCAGGGGGTATCTTAGGCCAAGAGTAGTAGGCGCCGAGGCAGAAGAGGATGGTGAGGGGGTTGCTTGGAAGAAGTGAGAGATGACTTCCGGGTGGTGGATTGTGTATAGACTGTGAAGGGCTTTGTTTTTCATGCTCAAGCATTGGACCTCGTCCTGTAGGTGATGGCTGGTTCACAAGTAAGAGAAGCAGAAAGCATAGTTCTCCCCTCAGGAAGCTTTTTTCTAGGGTAGCTGGGAAGACGAGACATAAACATATTATCCATTTGGAGCAGTTGAAGGCAATATGTAGGCGCTGGGGTGTGTGGTACGGGTCATTCGGATTTTTGAAATTGGGACTGGCTGGGTTGGTGGGGTTCCATAGAGCGGGGAAGGAGAGGAGGTGGAGCAGCACATTCTGCAGCCCTGCGTAGGATCTGTGGTCCCCCAGAGGATCCGCGGTCCCCCGGAGGTTCCACGGTCCCCCAGAAGTTCCGCAGTCCCGCAGAGGTTCTGCAGTCCCCCGGAGGATCCGCGGTCCCGCAGAAGTTCCGCGGTCCCCCAGAGGTTCCGCCGTCCCGCTGAGGTGCTGTTTGTGCGGGCATGTAGCAGGGCTTCCCAGGGGCAGTGCGGGTGCGGATGACACAGAGCCTTGCTGGCTTCCCCATGAGACCTTACAGAGGGTCAGTCTGGGATGTTGGCAGTGAGGTCAGAAAAAAAGGCGTACCCTAGAGACATCAGAAGGGAGAATTAGTCTTGCTCAGAGACTGGCATCGTTTCAGTTCTCTGGCCCCAGTGCTGGGTCGTACATCTTCCAGGCACAGGCACTGAGGCACTTGGAGAGGAGTTCGTCCTTCCATGTGTGCTGCCTGAGGTGATTTGGGGCCGTCAGGATAAAATACAACTCTGAGATTGGAGTTTGATGAGACGGAGTAGAAAGGTTCAAAGTGTGAGTTGTGTTTCTTTGTGGAAAGGAACGTGGAGGAAGTTGACAACCTAAGGCCGAGGAAGAAGATGGCAGAGAGGGAAAACTGGGGAAGGGATAGGAGAAATCTCAGGAAGGAGGAGTGTCCAGAACAAGGCACTTCATTTGAAAGTTCGTGACTAAGGAAAGAGGAGGATGGGGCCTGATGGAAGGCTACACTGGAGAGGGTGCAGGGGAGTTTCTGGGACGAGGAGGTGTGGTGAGGGAGGAGGAGAGCAGGAGGGTGGACATGGCCCTGGGGGACAGCAGGGCCACTGAAATGTCTCCTTCAGGCCCGGGCGTGTTTGTGAAGGCAGGGGATCTGGAAAGGGCCCGGGAGCCAAGTAGGGCGGGGTGGGCGATCCCCCAGGGCTTCAGAGTCACCTGCTGATGAGGAGTGGGGTCTACAGACGTTTCCAGGGGTTAGTTTTCAGAGGTCCAAGTGTGGGTGAATGAGATAAACGTTCGTTGTTTGCGGTCAGCTGTAATGCCACTCCCCCTCACGAGGCTGGATAATTAGAAGTGAATTCTACCATCTTGCACTGTAATGAGCTGTGTATACAAGCAATACCTGGAAAAGATGGACCTTATGAGAGTGTCCAGAATCCTTTTTCTCCCCGTAAGTAACTTTTTGTTTAATTTTTGTTAAATAGAAATGTAATATACAAGGGGTGCCTGGGTGGCTCAGTTGGTTAAGCATCTGACTCTTGATTTTGGCTCAGGTAGTGACCTCACGGTTTGTGAGAGCCCCGCTTTGGGCTCTGTGCTGGCAGTGCAGTGCCTGCTTGGGATTCTGTCTCTCCTCTCTCTCTGCTTCTTCCCCCTGTGTGCGTGCTCTCTCTCTCTCTCTCTCTCTCTCTCTCTGTCTCTCGTGTGCACAAGCTCTTTCTAAATAAATAAACTTAAAAACATAAAAAAAGAAATGTAACATACAAAACAGAAAAGAAGACTAAAAATTCATATATATGCATTTTTAAAAATACTGAAAAATTTAAGGTAGAAAAAAAAAATCACCCACAACCTTACTACCCACAGTAATTACTACTAAAATTAGTACAGGGGTGCCTGGCTGGCTCAGTCGGTAGAGCATGTGACTCCTGATCTCAGGGTTGTGAGTTCAAGCCCTACGTTGTGTGTAGAGATTACTTAAAAATGAAATCTTAAAGAGGTGCCTGGGTGGCTCAGTCAGTGAAGTGTCTGGCTTTAGCACAGGTCATGATCTCATGGTTCTTGTGCTCAAGCTCCACATTGGGCTCTCTGCTGTCAGTGCAGAGCCTGCTTCCGATCCTGTGTTTCCTCTCTCTCTGCCCTTCCCCTACTCGTGATCTTGCGTGCTCTCTCTCTCAAAAAATAAACATTAAAAAAAAAAGAAATCTTAAAAATTTATTGTATGTTCTTTTAGTTGTTTTGTTCTCTTGTAAGTAACATTTTAGTATTATGAGTACATAAAAAAACAAAAGGACAAAAAAGCCTGGGTTGAAGTGTAGTAGTTCTCCTTTATCCGTAGTTTCAGTTATCCGCAATCAACCTCGGTCTGGAGGCAGATGATCCTCCTGACGTACTGTCGTCAGAAGGTCAGTAGTGGCCTAACACCGGGTCACAAGGCTGCGTCACTCACCTCACATCCTGTCCTCACATAGGCGTTGCATCATCTCACGTCATCACTAGAAAGGTGAGTACAGGACAGGAAGATATTTTGAGAGGGGAGAGCACATTCACATAACTTTTTACGGTATATTGTTTTAATTGTTCTCTTTTATTATTAGTTATTGGTAACCTCCCTGCCTAATTTATAAATCAAACTACCCTAGGTGTGTATGGGAAAGAACATAGAATATAAGGGTTCGTACCGTGGGACATGTCAGACGTCTCCTGAGGGTTTAGGAACACATGTCCCAGGGCTACCCGATCAGCGAGTTGTTACATTCCGTGCACCTGCTAAATCGTTTCTAGGCTGCAGGTGCTAGGGATTGAACTCCGTCTGCACTGGTGTGTGTTCTAACAGAATTTTCCCCCACCCCCAGCCTCTTTTTTTGTCTTCAGAATTTTAATTTTCTTTTAAAATTGATTTATATGATCTGGGGCGCCTGGGTGGCGTAGTCGGTTAAGTGTCCGACTTCAGCCAGGTCACGATCTCGCGGTCCGTGAGTTCGAGCCCCGCGTCGGGCTCTGGGCTGATGGCTCAGAGCCTGGAGCCTGTTTCCGATTCTGTGTCTCCCTCTCTCTCTGCCCCTCCCCCGTTCATGCTCTGTCTCTCTCTGTCCCAAAAATAAATAAACGTTGAAAAAAAAATTAAAAAAAAATAAAATTGATTTATATGATCTAATTTCTCCTCGTGCTTTTTTTTCTGTTTTGTAAAAATGATTAACTTCGGCAGATTTCAGCTCGTAATTAGTTGACCTGGGCATTTCTCAGCGAATTACTTTCATGTTATCCATTCGCGGTTCTTAGGCTGGCAGTAAGCAAGTTACAGATGTGCTCTGTGTTAGGCTTTCCCTTCTGTGTCTCTCTCACTCTTCTCAGCTTCCGTTTCTAGGGGCTTTCAGCCTCCAGCACACGGACAGAGGGAAGGAAAAGCGGGGGGCCTGTGGGGGTTCTCTGAGAGGAGAGTTAAGTTGAGAAGCAACATGATTGGGTAATAGGAAAGGAACGTTTTTGGGGTGTCTGGCTGCCTTAGTTGGAAGAGTGTGTGACTCTTGATCTTGGGGTCGAGTTTGAGTCCTTTGTTGGGTGTAGAGGTTACTTAAATACAACTGAAAAAATAAAAAAGAAAAGTAAAAAGGAACATTTTCTCTATGTAGAGACTGGTGCAGCCTATAAACGGTAGGGACAGTGTTAGAGTAGTTCCAGATGTGTTTTCCGTAGTAAAAGTAGCGATGGAAACTAGCTACCAAAGTGAGCTTCTCGTATGTTTGTTTAAAACGTCTTTTATGTTGGTTCAGTTTTGAAATGTTGACACCATTAACCTAAAAATTATGAAGATTGTTGATTAAATGAGAGCACTATGTTGGGGCATCTGGGTGGCTCAGTTGGTTAAACATCTGACTTCGGCCCAGGTCATAATCTCTTGGTTCACGAGTTCGAACCCTGCATCAGGCTTGTGCTGACAGCTCAGAGACAACCTGGAGCCTGCTTTGGATTCTGTGTCTCCTTCTCTCTCTCTCTCTGCCCCTCCCTGCACACGCTCTGTCTCTTTCTCTCTCTCAAAAATAAATAAACATTAAAAAAATTTTTTTTTAAAATGAGAGCACTATGCTGTGCTGTTGATTGAAGTTCTCTTTTCTAAGGTATTTGACTGAGAGGAACTTTTGATTTGACGGACTCAGGGCTTCACTTCTTGTCCAGTCCCCGTTAAAAGCAAAAGCTCTCAGACGTTTTGACGTCATGGAGTAACCATGGGCTCCAGAAATGGAGGACGGAAGATTGAAGAGTAAACGCAGTCAATGATTGATTCATACTTAATTTAAAACTAAAACTTCTTTTCTTTGTTGGAGTGTGGAGGGTGGTCCGGTTTCAAATCCTGTTTACGCCAGTTGAACCTGGCCATGTTGATGAGGTAGTAGTCTAGAGAATAGAGGCTACTTTGGGTAGAGCTCAGTGATAAACAACCTGATCTTTTTTTGAAAAAAAAATTTTTATTTTATGAGATCTTCCTTCTTAATGGATTTCTTAAAAATGTTTATTTAATTTTGAGAGAGAGCGAGCTGGGGAGGGGCAGAGAGAGAGGGACAGAGGATCCAAAGCGGGCCCTGAGCTGTCAGTACAGAGCCTGACACGGGGCTCGAACCCACAAACTGCAAGATCATGACCTGAGCCAAAGCTGGACGCTTAACCAACTGAGCCACCCAGGCGCCCCTAAAAATTTTTGACTTTATGATATGCAGACGTGGAAGAACTTCATAAATACAGAGGGTGCATAGTGAAAAGTTAGGCACCCCTTCACTCTGTCCTCTGGACCCCAGGTCTTTGTCTTAGAAGCAGGCAGGCAGTTCAGCAGTCCCTTGTGTATAGTCTGTAGATCTTCCGCCCGTACACAAGCCTGTATGTATTCTTCTTGTCGTGACAACTTGGTTCTAATGTTTACTTTTGATACAAATGCTGTATCAAAAAAGAAATGCTTTGCTTTTCGAACACCCCATCTTCCCCAGAAGAAGGAACGATGGCACTGATGAAGAGTTGAGATGAAAAGGAGAAAGTTGTCTAGTGAACCATAGAATCAACCACGTATTTATAATTTGATGGTGGTTTTTCCTCAACTGCTCTGTAAAATTTACAGAGTCAGAAAGTTCAGGACATTTTGTAATGGATATCATTTATAGAGATTAAATGTGGTGTTAATGATTGTCCATATAAAATGTCCCTTTGTCATCAGAAGTATAACACCCCCCACCCCACAATTATGGTTCTGATTTCTCCATAGGAAAAAAATGCATACCTCAAAGCATATTAGAAGTAGAAAGACCTTAGCAATTATCTGGTTCAGCTCCCTGACATTAGGTGAGCAAATTGGATCTGAGCTTTGATTTCGGTATTTTTCTTAGGATACTGTCTTTAAGAGAGAGGAATACCTATGTGGTATGTGCATCATTAATGAAATTACCCAGCTGAAGAGGACTTTATAACAAAATGCTGATTTCTGCAACCTGGTATGATTGCAAATGGGCACAGTGTGGAGCAACCCTTGTGATTCTTCCAGGAAAACCTCAGTCTGGAGGGGAGATGCCTTCACTGCCTCTAGGCGCCCACTCTGCCAAACCGGGAGCCCTGCCTGGGAAGTCCCCTCCGTCACATGTCTGTGCCTGTCCCCAAGAGAAGCCACTTGGGACTCTGGCTCCGCAAGCTGAGGATGAGACAGAGGACGGCGGACTCTTCATTCCGATGGGTAGGCTTTGTTTCTCTTTTTTTCTTTTTTAATTAAAAAAAAAATCCTCTCTATTGAAGTATAGTATGAAGCACAATGTGGAGAAAACTGCACGTATCTTAAGAGATCCAAGTTCACTGAATTTCAGAGATTGCAAACACCCATGCAAGCAGGAACTGGATCAAAAACAGAATATTACCTGCACCCAGGACCCTCCCTTTCAGTTACTACCAACACCCCACCCCTGTGGGACCATTATTCTGACTTCCTGGTTCACCTGTTTTGTACTTTATGCGTGGAATCATATGTATGTGTGTTTTGTGACTGCCTTTTTCCACTTGTGTTGTCGTGTTATGAAATTGGCCCCCGTTGCTGCACGTACTTGTGGATTGCTCGTTTTCATTGCTGTGTAGTAGCCTGTTGGAGTGTTCTACTAGTTCTTAATCCATCAGCTCTTACCGGGCATTAGGATGGTTTCTAGTTGCAGGCTACTCTGACTGGTGCTGCCGTGGATGTTCCTGTTGCAGGTGTCTGGGTGAGCATCTGCACCTGATTTTCCTTGGGTGTAATTGCTAGGTCATAGGATTAGGCCTCTTTACATTTGTTTGAAATATTGTATGTAAAAAAAATTTTTTTTTAATATTTATTTTTGAGAGAGAGAGAGAGAGATCGCGAGTGTGAGCGGGGGAGGGGCAAAGAGAGAGGGAGACACAGAATGCTAAGCAGCTCCGGGCTCTGAGCGGTCAGCAACAGAGCCCGACGCAGGGCTTGAACCCACAAGCTGTGAGATCATGACCTGAACCGAAGTTGGATGCTCAACTGACTGAGCCACCCAGGTGCCCCTAAATATTGTATTTTTTTATTGTGAATTATAACACATACACACAAGTGAATAAAGACTTCTAGGGGCACCTGGGTGACCCAGTCGGTTAAGTGTCTGACTCTTGATTTCAGCTCAGGTCATGATCTCACGGTTGTGTGATCAAGCCCCTGTGCTGACTGTGGAGCCTGCTTGAGAGTCTCTCTCTCTGCCTCTCTCCTGCTCGAGCTTTATCTTTCAAAACAGATAAACATTTTTTAAAAATTAAAAAAATTATGTAACAGCCACCACCATCAGCATATGGGATGTCTCTCTGACCGCAGAAGTTCTCTCATTCCCCTCTGCAGGCCTTCATCCTCCGCCCTTGGCACCTGCCAGTCTCCCTTCTGTTCTGGCAGGTTCCCGTTTTCTACGGTGTTATCACGCATGTGGTGTCATACAGTACGGAGCCTTGCGCATCTGGTATCTTTCACCTAGTCTGATGCCTTTGAGATTCATTCGTGCTTTCATCGCTGAGTAGTATTCATTCTGTTCCAACGAAGGACCACAGTTTGTTTACCTGTTCACCAGTTGATGGGCATTTGGATTGTTTCCAGGTTTTGCCTGAAACTGCTATAAATATTCACATGTAGGTCTTTGATAGACATAAATTTTCATTTTTCTGGGGTAAATAACTAGGAGTGTCATTGCTGGGGCTTATGGTTTATGTTTAACTTTGTAAGAAACTGCTGAACTGTGTTCCAGGGTGGCCGGACCATCTTACACTCCCACCTGCAGTATGTGAGATTTGCAGCTGATAGCCTCCAGCCAGCCGCTGTCAGACGTTTAATTTTATCCGTTCTAGTAGGTGTATTTCCTCCTGGTTTTCAATTGCATTTCCCCAAGGAATAATGCTACAGAGCATATTTTCATGTGTTTATGGCCATCTGTAGATCATTTTTGGTGAAATGTTAGTTCATTGTTCTGTTGTTTGCCTTCATTCCTTTTGTAATTAGTACATATCTTGCAGGAAATACTTTAAAACTATGCATCTATCCTGTTCATTTTCAAATCTTTGTCCACTAATTTTAGCATCCATTGGTAGATTGCCTGTAACAGGCTTTTTTTTTTTTTTTTTAATTTTATGTATTTATTTTGAAAGAGAGAGAGAGAGAGAACCAGCAGGGGAGGGGCAGAGAGAGGGAGGGATCCAAAGCAGGCTCTGTGCTGACAGCAGAGAGCCTATCGCGGGGCTCAAACTCACAAACCATGAGATCGTGACCTGAGCCAAAGTTGGATGTCCAACTGACTGAGCCACCTAGATGCTCCATTACTGTGTTCTTCTAATGGCAATTTTTTATTTCTCTCATGCCTTCTACTTCTATTAATTGGGATTTTCTATAAAGAAGAGCTGTCCTGGGGCACCTGGGTGGCTCAGTCAGTTAAGTAAGTGTCCGCCTCTTGATTTTGGCTCAGACAGGTCATAATCCCATGTTTCAGGAGTTCATGAGTTTGGGCCCTGCATTGGGCTCTGCACTGATAGCATGGAGCCTGCTTGGGATTCTCTCTCTTCCCCCCACCTCTCCCTTGCTCACACATGCTCTCACTCTCTTTCCCTGAAAAGAAATAAACTTTAAAGAGGACCTGTCCCTTCTTCATTATTTATTTATTTTTTCAATTTTTATGTGAGTGTGGACTGAGATATTTATTTTATTATTTGAGTTACAATGCAGTACTGTCGTTACCTTGCTCACGTTGTTTTACTGTTAGCTACAGGGAGATACTCCAGGATTTATTTTTGTGGAATATGGTTTTGGTGTCATATCAAGGAACACTGCCTAATCCTGGGGCACCCGGCTGGCTCAGTTGGGGAACCTCGAGACTCTGGATCTCAGAGGGTTGTGAGGTCGAGCTGCACACTGGGAGGAAAGCAGACTTAAAAAAAAAAAAAATGATTTAAAAAAGAAAAGGAACTCTGCCCAAACTGAGGTCACAGAGTTTCTTTTCTGCAAGTTGTATGGTTTTACATATTACATTTAGGTGTATGAACCATGTTGAGTTAATTTTTGTATCATCATGTGTGAGGTATGTTTGAGACTCTTTTGCATGTGGATGTTCACTTATTTCAGCACTATTTTTGGAAAATATTTTTTCTCCATTTAATTACCTTTGCACATAGGGCACCTGGGTGGCTCAGTCGGTTTGTCGTCCGACTTTGGCTCAGGTCATGATCTTGCAGTTTGTGAGTTCGAGCCCTGCGTTGGGCTCTGTGCTGACAGCTTGGAGCCTGGAGCCTGGAGCCTGCTTCGGATTCTGTGTCTCCCTTTTTCTCTGCCCCTCCCCCATTCACACTCTGTGTCTGTCTCTCTCAAAAATAAATA